AGAAGTTTGTAGTAGCCAGCCTCCAAATTGGTCTCTAATGATACCCACCTTCCGATATTCACACCCCTCCCACTTTTTACCAGGGTTGGTCTTGTGGCCTTGGCCCTGGTGAAATATGGGAGGGGCATGGATATGGCAGAAGGGATGGCATTAAGTTAATCTTCAGAGATTAAGTTATAAAAAGACTATGGCTTCCATCTCAGGTTCACACTCTCTCTTGTTCTCCACCTCCTTCCCCTACCATCTTACTCTCTTTTACTCTCTTACATCTCTTACTCTGAGAAAAGCAAGCTGACATCTTCTGAGCAGCCCAATGAAGTGGCCCATGTGGCGAGGCACTGAGCTTTTTATCAACAGCCAGCTAAGAACTGATGCCTACCGACAACCATGAGAGTGTGTTTGGAAGTGGATTCTTCTACCCCAATAGCCCCTTGAGATGAATGCCACCCTTGCTATCAGCTTGACTGTTGAGAAACCCTGAGCCAGGACTACCCAGCTAAGCCATTTCTGGATTCCAAGTCCTCAGAAATTGCGTAAGATAATAAATGTTTATTATTTCAAGGGATTAGTTTTTAGGTAATCCGTGACACAGCAATAGATAACTAATACACCCAGTGTGTCTACCATGTTTCCCCTAATAGGTATAAGAGGGCTGCGATAGCTCCAAATATCATGTTCTTCTCACAGGACAGCATCTCAGGCAGGAAGAAAGGAGGATGGGGGTAAAGGGGCTCTCCTTATGTACCTTTCTCCTTTTATCAAGGGGGAAAATCTTTCTTAGAAGTCACCCAGCAGATTTCCCCTTACTTCTCATTGGCCAGAACTGGGTCTCATGATCGCCTCTAGCTGCAAGGGAGGCTGGGGAATCAAGTAATGGGCCTTTCAGCTGCTTTGTAGGAAAGTGGACAAGGAACAAATGGGCCGGGAATGTCTGCTGTGTAGCAACAACACTATCTACCAGCCGTTCCTGCAGTTGAAATTTATCTGGTTGTTTTCACCTGGCATCATTTTACATGTTTCTTCATGCTCTGTATTCACAATAAACTGGAAATTAGGCCTCAATTAGATTCAAGTAAAACATTGTCATCAAGATTAATCAAGACCTTCATACTCTCTCACGTCAAGAAACAACTGGGACCTTCACCAAGTAAACATTTTACAAGATTTAAGCAGAGGGTGGTGGTGCATCATCAATGAAAAGCTAACCGCAAATCTAGGAGGCTTCACTTGTCTTACACTTATGGGAAGTCTGTGTTCTCTTATAAATTTATTTTGGGTTGTCTTGCTGGAATTGTGTGTAATAAGCAGTCTCAGTTTCTTGCATGTGATTTCCTTGGGGGATGACAAGTCATGTGAGCCGTGTTAACTTAGTTTAAAACACCTGAGACCATTATGAGCTGACTTTTAAAATCAAACGCAGAAATGTTGGAACGTGATCCCCTCAGGATGACTTCCACTTGAGGCTTTAGGTATAATGTTGGGAACAAGGGGAAATGAGATGAACCTCCTCAACCGTTTGACAGCAAGGCATAGGACAAGCGACCTCTGTGGTCCTGAGGTCTGATGTGCAGAGCTCTGTGTGGGGGTCAGCGCTTGGCGAACATGTTAACAGCTACCGTGGGACCTTGTCTGGGATCGTGAACTTCAAGTTTGCTTGTTTACATAGAGAATATGCTGTACCTGCCGTGGTCTCTCTTGTCTCTGTCCCTGTGGAGCTGAAGGAACTGAAGAGTATGTTCTCTCAGTGAAGATCATGGACTAATGTGACAGCCAGGCCTGAGGGGTGAGGACACTAGGAGCCACGTTGGGACAAGGCGCTGTCCTTGAAAGGATGGTGGGCCCGCAGACGTCTCAAGTCCCTGAAGCCCATGTAGAGCAAGGCGGGCTTGCTTCCTATTTCACTGGGAATAGTGAGATGACCTGGAAAGAGAATGTTTTTCCAAAGTTGTCTTTTTTCAACATGACCCTGTGCCCACCTCCAGCTGCTACCCTACTTTGCTGTCTCAATGGCAGGGATCTCTATCCCCCTCTCTAGAATCTTCTCCCAACTGCCCCTATATCTTACTGTCATCTCAAACTCATCTTAAAGTTAACTCATCCTCCATCCAGTTTCCCCAAGTCAGCAAAAGGCAGCCCCACCCCTCCCAGCCCCCAGGCTAAAAACTAGGCATCAGCCATGACTCATCCCGCCCAAACCACCAGTCCCCTGGTCCTGAGAGTCTCTGCGGTGATGGTTTCATTAACTTGTCCTCCTTCAGCCACCGCCCTGGCCCGGCCAACAACATCCCTGAGGAGGCTGCACTATCCTCCTCCTTAGTCCTCCAGCCCTGGTCTCGCTGCCCTCTCTGGACTCTCCTGCTTGAAAGCTCTTCCAGCTCCTCCTGAATGTTGAAAATAGATAAGGCCTTCCTCTTCCAACTCCACCTTTCTGTTCCAGCTAAGTTCCCTGGTTCATCTGTTCCAGAAGTCTCAGCTCTTACTACCCTTGGATAATAATAGACATACCACATGCCAGGTATTTTACAGCCAGATCTTTAATTTTTACAACCACTGTGAAGCATAGGTGTCATTGTCTCCTTTACAAATGAGGAAAATTGAGGCCTGGAGAGGTTACACAGGTCACGCTACCTGTAAATAGCAAATCTGGGATTCAACCCAAGTCTATCTGATCTGAAGCCCTTCCTCCTGTGTAACTGCCCACCATCTCGCCCATCTCACCTATCCCCTCCTCTGCATGGAGCTGGTGCTGTTCCTTGCCACAGTACCCTCCCTCTTCCCCACAGCTTCTTCAAACCCCCCACCAGCTCCACCGCACACCTTCACTGGTGGCTCATTCCCACGCTGCTCACCCACGTCTCTCAGCTTTTCTGGCAGGAATCGCAGCCCCACACAACTCGGTACATAATCACAGACTGCCTTGTCTGGCTCTCTAGTTACGTCACACTTGTCTGTCTTGTTCTCAAAAGCCTGGAAGTGTCTGGGTTAAGGGATGGTGCTTGCATTCACTCCGGTCCCCAAGGGCCCCGGCACTGAGCTGGGTGCGAAACACTCAGTGGAACTGACCTGATCTCCCAGGAAGGAGGTAAGGTCCCAGTGCTCCAAAAGCCGGTTGGACCCCACCCTGGCACACCCCACCCCCCCCAATGGTAAGCCTCAAGTCTCTCCCTGCATGTACACACACACACACACACACACACACACACACACACACAGAGTTTCTCTGCTGCACACACATTTAATCAGAAGGTCTCTTTACAGACAGAAGTAATTTTATACCTGGAACTACCTACCCAAGAGAGAGAGCTCCCTTCTACGTGAATACTGGGTGTTGCCCTCATTGTGGAATTCCAACACGGCTCAGTGCTGGGAGCACCCTGGGGTGGGTGAAGCACTGATACCACATCCTAACAGAGTATAGAGCTGGACTGGCCATCGGGCAGGATTTGGTGTCTCGAATCTAATTCTGGTTCTGTCTCTGGATGGTCTGGGGCGGGGCATGGAGGAAGGGGAGAGACGTGATCTTGCCACTTGGCCGTGAAGTTTTCTATCTATTTATTTATTATTATTTATGCCTACAACACCTGGTCTTCCTAGGTGGTCTCCCATCCAAGTACTAACCAGGCCCAACCCTGCTTAGCTTCCGAGATCAGATGGGATCAGGCTTGTTCAGGGTGGCATGTCTGTAGACCATGGACTGTGGCTCCACTGGGGCATGAACCCAGGACCTCCTAAAGCAGACGTGCTAACTGCTATGCTATGGAACCACATCCTGAAGTTTTCGATATATGAGGAAGACTCTCCTTTCCAGGGCCACACTGCACAGCTTCAGAGGGGGCATGACTGGTGCCCCTGGAACTACCCTGGTGCCCATGTGCCACCTCCCTTGCCTTCTGGGCTCCAAAACATCTCTGCTCTGATTCTAGTGTTCCCATATCTGGTCTCTCAAGTTGTTCATTCTTGGAGTTAAATAGTGCCATCTCAAACGTCTCGTTTCAAAGTGGGAAGAACATACAATATGAAGCCCCAAACACTTAGAAGGATCTAGATTTTAGACGGATTTCTTTCCAGATACTTAGGAGACAGCACGAAGTTTTCGGGTTTAGTAAGAGGGCACTTGACTAAGGGTCAATAGGTCATTGAAGGGCCAGGGCAAAAAAGACAGTGAGGATGGAGAGGCAGCAGTGGGTGGGGCCCCAGAAGCAAAACTTGTCTTTCTTTACAATTTTGCCTCTAGCCAGTCGTAACATGTGAACAAACAAGTGAATAAGCAAAGGAGAGCTTACTTAATAAGAACAAATAAAAAACAATGGTGCAACATACCACACATGCCTCACGGAGCCTGGAGAAGGAGCCCAGGGAGGGGCAAGACTGTGGGGAGTGTGGGTGGTGGGAGTGCCTCTCCTTCAAAAACCAGAGCCAATATGCCAGCCCTGCCCCTTCAGGGAGGGACTCGACCTCCTGGAGGGAGGCCAGTGTTCAATTCCTTTACTGCCACAGCAGTCAAGGAGAGAGAGAGAGGCACCCTCTGATAACCATCGGAGGAAGTTTTGCAACTCCCATGTGTGAAGCCTTCTGGGCTGAGGGCTGAGTAACACCCGCCTCTTTGGGCCTGGCCCTGAGTGGCAGCCGTGAATGCCCCTAGGTATGGGCGGAGGGCTGAGGATCCTGTACCGGAGATGAATCTAGCTACACAATGAAGTAGCTACACAATGAAGCTCGGGTGCCCTCGCAGGACCAGACGCTGCTCATACGCCTCGCCTTGGGTCTGGGGCCCTTTACTAGGCTTTGGGGCTGTCTCCTGGCAGAGATCAACAGGCCCAGGCCATAGCTGCCTGAGCCACCCGGGGGTGCCCCAGCCGGCGGGGGAGAGACGGCCACATTCCAGGCTCCGGACTGGCACAGAAGCTTGACAGAGTTCCAACTGGAGGGCAGCCCCGGCTCAAGTAGACCAGGGCTGAGGGGCGACTCCTCTCCACCACAGAGGGCCCCAGGCCGAGGAGATGGAAGAACAGGTGTTCAAGGGAGACCCAGACACCCCTCATTCCATCTCCTTCTCTGGCAGCGGATTCCTCTCCTACTACCAGGCTGGGGCTGTGGACGCCCTACGGGATCTGGCCCCCCGGATGCTGGAAACAGCTCATCGCTTCTCTGGGACTTCAGCAGGTGCAGTGATTGCGGCCTTGGTCATCTGCGGGATTGAGATGGGTAAGACTTTTGTCCTGGGTTCCCTGGGGAGCCTCTGGGGGCATTCCCCAAAGCAGAGCCTCAGGATTGCTTGGGGATCCTTTTGAAAGCAAGCCAGGCCTTTGGGGCAGCAGGAAAAGATGAGGTAGATCAAATGGGATGGCAGGGGCTGCAACATTCGAGTCGCATCTCTCCCTCTCCCTCAACACTCTTACCAGTGAAGCCCTGTCTCCTGGTCTCCTGGAGCCTGAGAGAAGGAAAGGCAGGGTCTCCCCCAAACATTCTGGTCTCAGGAGTTACAACACGACATAGTGAGACATAGGGGTGAAGTGTCTCCTGCCTGGGCCTTATTCAAAATGCAGATATCCCCAGCAAGGGCAGCACCTCACATCTTCATCACCTTGGCGGGGATGGATTTGTCAGATCCTCTTTCAGGTGGCGGGAGGGGCAGGAGGGGGACAAACTGGGAAGGATATGGAAATTCTCACTTCACCTTCTACCCTGCCGGTCCAGGGGCCCCAGAGAGAAGGATGGGGCCACACTGTTGACCCAGAGGGCAAAAGCGCCATCCTGTGCAGGGGTACAGACACTTTCCAAGCAGCCACAGACAGTAGGCCTAGATCTGGTGCTAGAGAGGCCCAATGTCCACATGCGCTGTCTTGGGCTCATTTATTCATTTATGAGCTGCTGTTCTGTGCCAGGCTCTGTTCCAGGCACTGGGGACAAAGTCCTTGTCCTCGTGGAGCAGAAATTCTAGGGAGAGGAGACACGTAATAAACATTCAAACATGATGTCATGTCAAGAAGTGTAAGATCTATGAATAAAATTATGGCAGGAAAGGGTCAGAATAAATTGGGGACTTTTTTAGAAAGGGTGGTCAGGGGATTGCTTTTGCAAGAGGTAACAATCAAGCAGAGGCCTGAGTGAAGGGAGAACATAAGCCATTTGAAGACCAGTAAGGAAAGAATGTTCTAGGTGGAGGAGCAGCCAAGGAAGCCAGTGGGGCTGTGGATCGGTGGGTGAGGAGGAGGGGAGTGGGGATAAGGCTGGAGAGGTAGGCCAGGGCCAGAACACACAGAGCCTTACAGCCAGAGTAGCAAGCTCTGATGAGAGAGATGGGGTGCACAGACAGGCTAGAAGGGAGGCAACGTGGAGGGGCCGGCGAAGAGCACATACTCCACTTGGGTTGGATCCCAGCTCTGCCATTTCACATGTGGACCTGAGGCAAATGTTTTAACTCTCTGTGCCTCAGTTGCTGCGCCTGCAAAGTGGAGATTCTAGTAGTACCTAATTCCTAGGGTAGGAACAAGAAGGCTATTGTACAACTAAGCTAGGGATGAGCAAGGCAGGTGGCTGGGTGGTGAAGGAGAGGGGAAGCGATTGGATTCAGGACGTGCTCGGAAGGTAGTGCCAGCGAGATTTGCTGAAGGACCAGCTGCACTGCGCGAGGAAGAGGTGCCAGCAGGGTGCCTTCTCGCCTGGGGACTTCTGCGCCCTGAAGGAGGTCTCTGTCTTCTTTACCTTTGTTTTAAAGATGATAGTAATGCCTGTTCACTGAGTACTTCTTACATGCAAGATAATTTTTCTTTTTGATAAACGAATTCTTTCTCACTGTACAGAACTCAATCAATGCAAAAGTACAGAGAGTAAAATTACAGGAAGTAAAGACAAAGCTTCCGTTGGTCCCCAAACCCCCTGGTCTCCAACCCCACTCTCCGCCAGCAGTCAGTGCTAGGGGCTTCCCTGGGACCCTTCTAGATCTTGTTTTATGCACAGAGTCCTCTGCGAACGTGGCAGTTAAAACTTCAGTCACCCAATGGACCCAGGACAGGCCTTCAGACAGGGGCTGTGGGGAGAGCCCCCACTCCCTCGTCCTGGACTCACAGAATTCCTGCCCTTGGAGACATCCTGCCTCTGGGATTCTCTCCCTTTCTGGGGGTCCGTGTCGCTCACCTGCTCTGTTGCTCCCACTCTCCTCATGTCTTTATTCTCTGAGAGAGTCAATGGTGTCTTCATCCTCTGGCATTCAAGGACTTTTCGGAATTAATTCGATTCAATCGATTCAAAACATATTGCCAAAAACCTCCTCGGCCAAGCTGTGATGGGCATGGACAGCAGGTGAGAGGCACTAAAACCCATGAGAGGGACACCTAACTGTGGGAGCAACTAAGGGCTGGACTGTGTGGGGCCCGTGATTAGAGGAGAGAAGTTCAGGACCATGCAGGACCCCCTCTTTTCACTCAGCAGCCTGTTTGTGAGATGTACCCACATCACTCCAGTCTCCTTCATTCATTTGAACTGCCACGTCATTTTCTATTCACGAGCACCTTCTTTATAACAGGCACTGTTCTAAATATTTGGGGTATTAATTCACTCAGTCCTCACAACAACCCTCCGAGGTGAAAACTATTATTATCTTCATTTTACAGAGGAGGAAACTGAGTCACAGAAAGCTTAAATAACTTGCCTAAGGTCATACAAACAGTATTTGGTAAAGATGGGGTTTGAACCAAGTCTGCCCAGAGTCTACGGACTCAGCCTTTAAACCATTCTGCTTCTTGATGAAGGACTGTCAGGGGGTGCGGATGCTGGTTGTATAAATAGTGGGCTCAGGTGGAATTTGCACACTGACCTGAAGGAGGTGAAGGAGTGAGCCATGAGAATATCGGGGAGAGCATGCTTCACAGAGGGACAAGTGACCTGTGTAACATCCCATCATCAGTTAGAAGCAGAACAAGAGCCCAGGACTCAGTCTTCTGACTTTCTTCAAGGCTTTTTACCTCTTTCAGTATATATTTCACTGAGAGTATATCACTGTTCATGGAACCATTCTGTTGATGGATACGGACCAGTTTTTGTTGTTATAAACAACATTACGACAAGCATCCTTATTTGTGTCCACCGTGTCTGCATGGAATGTTTCCCTTGAGTACACATCACGTTAACTATACAGAACTGGCTAAATTACTCTCCAAAGTAGCTGTACCAATTTAATCACTAATTTCTCCACAATGTCAGCAACCGTTAGTACTTACTGTCAGAATAAAAAGTTCTAATTCAATCTAAGGAATGTGAAGTTATATCTCACTTCATTTCGCTTATTTAATCTGCATATTCTGATTATTATATATCTATTGACCGCTTGTGTTTCCTCTTCTGTAACTTGCCTGCTCATGACCTTTTCCCGTTTTTCTAGAGTTAGCTTTTTCTCTTTAACATGTAGATGTTCTTTTTATAGTCTGTACACGAATCGTTTGTCAGTTGTAGACATTGTAGCTATCTTAGTCCATTCCACGGCTTGTCCTTTTATTTTATTTACGATGTCTCTTGTCGTTCACAAAATTTCAATTTTAATAAGTCAAATGTATCAATCTTTTCCTATTACAATTTGTGTTTTTTAATACCTTTTTTGTGACAATGATTTCTTCTATATTTTCTTTTAAAAGTTTTAGGTTAATTCATCTGGAATTTATTTTGTGGCTAATTCGAGGTAGAAATCTATGTTTTTAATGGTTTCACCATGTGCTGACCAATTACCCCACAATATTTATAGACAGCTCTTTCTACACTTGTTTGAAATGCTGCCTCTGGCTTATTCAAGTTCCTGGATTCTCAAGAGTCTATCCTTGGAGTCTCTCTTCTTTTCCATTGGCTAATTTGTCTACTTCTGCACCATATCACTGTTTTAATCACCAGAGCTTTATAATAAAGGGCACATCATATATAGCAATCCCTCTCCTCCTTGTGTTCCAATTTCTTCTCCAAATATTGCTTCTGTTATTCTTGATCCCGTTTGTTCCCCGTGTGAAAAGCTCTGTTGGGATTTTGATTGAAATGACATCTTTCCATTTATAAACATAATCTATCTGTTTATTTCTTCCGGCCAATTTTGTCCTTCAATAAAGATTTTGTATGTTTCTTATTAGATATATCAGTTTTTGTTGTTGTGAGGAATGGGATATTTTTTCCTATCACATTTTCTAATCTAATTGATTATTGCCGATATAAAGGATTGTTGACATTTTTGCCATATTAATTTTGTTTTGAGCAACTTTGTTGAACCTTCTTAACATTTCTAAAAGGATGTTGGTAGATTATCCCATGTTTTTTTATGTGTAATTACACTGTCTGCATACAACCAGAGGTTTGTCTCTTTTTAAAAAAAAGTCTTCAACGCATGGCCCCCAGAGCTTCTCTAGTTCCCAGCCTCGGCTTTTCTGTCCTGAGATTGTGTGTTTTGTTCCTGAGAAAGCTCATGTAGGTTCATCTTCTGGAGATGAGTGCTTAGCTCTGTAATAGGACCAATTTGGGGGCATGTAAAAATGTTTGTAAAAGCACTTACACAGTGCCTGGTTTTTGAGATGCACTAAACCTTTGTTCATTCATTCATTAATCTGAGGAGAGATGATCTCCATGGCAACCTGTAGAGAGCTCAGGATTTCCAGTCTGGTCAGAAGTGGGGCTGAGAACTTGCCTCAAAGCTGCATTTGTATAATTTTGAAAAATAAATTTTTTTCTTATCATAAAGTGAGGATTTGGTGGATTTAAAACCCTGTCTCCACTTAAGCTACGACTTTGGCAACTTTCCCGCTATAAAAACTATCTGGCAAGTGAATCCTGTATTCACTCATTCATTCAACAAATGTTTGTTGCGTATACACTAGCCCCTGCACAGGATGCAGAGATATAATACAAAGTGAAACTCTGGTCCTCAAGGAGCTTACAGTCTACTCAAACTCAAAGGCAGCCGCCAGGTAATAATGATACAAGAAAGTTCCAACCGAATGTTAGAAAATTAAAAGGCATAGGAGTGCAGAGGGAGGGAGTAAATGCCTCCCATTGTGGAAGGCCTCGTGGAAGTGGCACTTGAGCTAGTGCTTGAAAGGTGAGTAGAAGTTTGACAGGTAGAGACAGGTTAGGCAGGAACCTAGGCTTCTAGAGAGGACATGGCATGACAACAGAGTTATGCAGTGGGAAATGTGATGCTTCCAGGGGGACGGTAGAGAGTGCAGGTGGACACG